GAAGAAAGTACTTTTTCCCAACATTTTGACATTTGTATTCATCAAATTTTTTATGCTCAACCCATTTATCTCCATATAAAGGAACATTTCCATGTGAATTTAACTGAAAGACGCTGATTAATGGCACAAAATACGTAGTTTTTCAGTTTTCAAGGACTCTCAAGCTATAGATGTTACCAAAGTTTGGCAGCCATTTTCTCGCTAATTTTGATTTTTACCTCGGAGACCAGGCCACCCCCACCTCCTTCATTCACAAATATCTCGACCTCTATTCAAGACACATAGGTTATTTTTTCCCCCAGAAAGCAAGGCAAATGAATAAGCTTTAAGATGATAATACTAACTCCACATGTCCAAAAACTGACGAGTGCCTGATTACACCGCATTGTGACACAACTGTGAGGTGTGCTGACAAAATGAGTTACTTCTCGCAATCCACAAACGGAGATATTGGCCAAAAATCGACATACGGGTCAATTGTGTAGATTTACTATTGATATCATATCCTTTGAGTATAACATGCCTTTTATTATTTCATACTTATAAATTGTAAAAACAGAGATGGGCATGTTCGACTGTAGTGACCCCAACCTTGTGGACAAGGTGTGACAAATTTTAGAAAAATTCACCGATAAGACAAGCGTGATGTATCTATTTCCATAGGGCTCAAATCCGAGAAGCAACTCATTTTGTCAGCACGCTTCACAATTAGAACTTCATGAAGAAAAGAGCAAGAACAGTAAATGAGATGAGGGTGTGGTGACGGAGCGGTTAGTGCGCTCATCTCCGAAGCAGAAAGTCCGGGTTCGAGCCTCAGTTCGGACACAGATTTTTTCGCCCCCTCCTGCCCACCCAGCAGTAATGTGTACCTGACTTCGAGTTGGGGAAGTAAAGGCGGCGCGGAAAAGAACTGGCTACCTTACCACAATATGCCGAAGGCCCAGGAAGTTGTCTCATTAACAAGGCCATCCCAAATGTCCGGATCGGATGCGGGAACAACTTTACTTTACTTTTACAGTAAATGAGGCTTCTCGGGGTCGAGAGGTACAGTGTTCATCTCTCATCCAACAGGTCCTGGGTTCCAAACCTGAAGGTGGCCAACAATTTTCTTCTCTAATCATATTTTTTCCTTTCACCTTCTTCTCTGTTCTCTAAATATGTTCTGTCATCTGCTTCAATTTCCACTTGCTGCTGCTCATTAGTGATGGGCGATATCAGCAACATCGAATTCGATACCACATTGATATTTTTTCACATGAAATATCAATATATCAACATTTTTTAATATTACAAAATTATTATTGATAAATTGAAATTCGCCATCAAATATATTGATAATTAACGAGTCGTGGCCGATATGGCTGTCTTCCATTTTTTAATTGATTAAAAATAAAACATTTTTTGGTGTTTTATTGTGGGGGAAAACATAAAGTCAATGAGGTTTCCTTGTAGATATACATTTCTCTCGCTCTCTCTCTATCCATCTATCTATCTCTTTGAGTGGTGGGCATATCAAAATATCGAAATATCAATACTTTTCTCACTGCTTCGATACGATATCGATATGTGTAAAAATATTTTGATTTCGATATGCCCACCACTACTGCTCATCTCTCTGCTCAAAGGCTTTCAATCCCATCCCTATTAACTTTATCCTGTTTTCTTTTCCCATCTCCCACCTGTACAGGTTCTCTGAAATACCTGTGGAAGTTGAATATTATATCTATAGCTGTCCCCGTGGTTCCATGCACCCCGCATAATTTAGCAAAATTTGATCATTTTTTGCATAATTTCTGATTATTTTCTTTTATCATTCTTTGTTAAAAATTAAAAGAATTGCATAATTTCACAGTTTTGGGCTCAATTAGCATAATTTCAGAATTTTTCTTGCATAAAATGACGGGGACAGCTATAGAAAATAGAGGAGGAAACCTCACTTGATGATATTCTCTTGCTTCCACTTTGAGGCCACGGCAGATTTGGGATTCCTCTCCACATACTTGACCAGTTCTTCCATGTATTGTCTGTCAAGGAAAAAGTAAAAGTAGTGATGAGGAGGGGGGAGGGAGGGAGGGAGAGAGAGAGAGAGAGATATATATATATATATATAGAGAGAGAGAGGTAGAGAGAGGGATAGAGAGAGAGAGACTGAGAGAGAGATAGAGAGAGAAATAGAGAGAATAAGAGAGTGAGACAAATAGGCTACATAATCATTTGCTCCAAACTCAGGTAGGGTATATATATCATATATATAAACAGAAAGGTAAAAGTAAAGTACAGCCCCCACTTTCAAACTGCCCGATCTAGTGTGTAACATCGTGAGTCAGCATGGGGTTCACAGTGGGGTCGCAGCGGTGTCTTACAGGAAGGGGAAACAGAGGGCTGTGGTCGTCAAAGGCTATCTTTATTATTTTTTTTTAGTAAGAGTTTTACGGCACTTGCAACACAATAAGGTCATATAAGTGCCGAAGATTAGAGGTGTTACAAGAGAGTAACAAACACAAAAAAGAAGGAGGGGAGATAAGGACGATAGAAGTTTGATAGGAAAGAAGGAGCAAACCACACCAGAGCACCCGCCAACCACCCACCGGCTATCTCGCATGGAGGTATTTGTCTTGGTCATTTACAATGGCAGTAGTGTAACAAAGGACATATGCACTTACACACACCCCGGGGTGGTGCAACTGACTGAAGTGTCTTTACGCCATTCCTAAAGGGGGGATATTTAACCATGTTCTTATGCACAGTAGAATTGTAATTGTAAATGGGCTGATTCATCAATGTCATGCTCATAACTGTGCCTGAACTGTAACAGGAAACTGTTGCTTTTTCTTCACTAATCCTTACTTAGTCATTTTTCCTCTACCTCTTTTGTATGTTTGTCACACTCTTGTGACCCGTTATTTTCGGGGTGCCTTGAAAGTCGAAGCAGACTTTGTACTGTTGAGGTTAGAGAGGTGAGCAGTCTAAGTCCTGTAAAGACTTCTCTGTTGACACCCACCTCTTGCTGTGAGTAATTTGTTTTAGTAAGAGTTTTACGGCACTTGCAACACAATAAGGTCATTAAAGTTCCGAAGATTAAAGCACCCCAGGGCACCCCACAACCAACCCACCTTGGGGTTAATATACTGAAATCCCCCATATACATATATATATACACCCACACACATATATATATATATATATATAGGTATATATATATAGCCATA